CATTTAATAAATTCAACAAGTGGATTTTTTCATTTTTGGTTGATCAGTTTACATCTTACAAATGTATACAAAAATTTATTGCTAATTTTTAGCAACGTTAAACAATTAACCACAACAATAAACAGTAATAAAGCATTAAACACCTTTTTTTTTTTTGATGTTAAAGAAAACATTAGTGGTCATATTGAACTGTTATTAATGGTACTTATAGGTTAACCTGGGCTTCGAGATGCTCTCCAAGAAGATCCCAATTTGTAGTCGTAAAAAATTAAGTAAAGCTGAAACATTACGTGAAGCGTTACTGTACATCAAATATTTACAAGAAGTTTTAGCGGAAACTGAGCGTACACAGTTTTGTCCATTTGCAACTTTACCGATTTCATCGTCGTCGTTGTCGTCGTCGTCGTCGTCAACTGACTATAATTTTTCAAGCACAGAATCTTCATCATTTAGTACAGATTCTCAACTGAACAACTGTAAAACGCCGTATTAGGTTGTATTCGTATTGTTGAAAAAAATTTTTACTTGGCGTCTATGTCTTTGATATAACGGGTGGTTTTTTTTTTTTTTTTTTGTAGTTTATGTAATATATCTGTTGTGTTTAATCTGTAAATTAAACATCATCTTTTTTTTTTCTGTTTCTTTTATCTTCATTTTTTTTTCTTCTTCTTCGTCTTCTTCTTTCAATCTGTTCATTTATATCAAACTTTAATGCTTTAATTTATCAGTTTATAGTTTCGTGTATAGCCAAATGTATCTGTTGGTATTTGTCATCGTCATTGTTGTTATTGCTTCAACATTTTTTGTTCGTATTCTTCAATATACCCAAAAAAAATTTTTTTTTTGCTATATATTCATTTCATTGACTTATGAAAACTGTGGAAGAAAAAACAAGAAAAAGGAAAAGATGAACAATAAATTTGGTATTGCAGTTTGTTGCAAAAAAATGCAGTCAAAAAGAAATGTTGTCAACAATAAAGCTGTATAGCATTTTTTTAATGATATGTTTTAAGGATTCAAAACCTTTGAATCTGTTAACATCATTTTTTGTTTTTCCTACCCTTAACTGCTTTTAAAATCTTTCAATAACAGACCTCAACAACAAAAAAACAAGTATTATTTAGCTGATATTACAAGCAAATATTTTTCAGACAACTCTTTGATATTAACTTCAAAAATTTTTTTTGTTTTGAAAAAGAGTATCATTTGTCAAACAAAAATAAATTAACTAAACTTTAGGTGTTGAAAATAAAAATTATCACAGTTAATGGTAGTTTAAGACAATTTAGTTTTAGACAGTTTTAGACAATCATTCATTTTTTTTTCCTCTAAAAAACAAACATTTAAAACAAAAAAAACTTATCAAAATTTATGTGATAAATTCAGTGCTAAAAAATTGTGCTTACAAAAGCAAAAAAAAAAGTTTTTTTCCGGGCTACTTTTTTTTTTTTTGCTTTTTAATATGGTAACACTGTTACTGTTCAGTAATGGACTAAATTTAGATTTTTTTTGCTTCTGACTTTTTTTGAGTTAACCGACTGAAAAAATTTGAATAAAAAATGTGTGGACACAGTTAATTGACACTAAGAAACTAAGAACAAAATAAAAGTGAACAAAATGATAGTGGTAAAAAGTTTTGCCAAATGGCTTCATCTTTTTTTTTTCTTTACTTTCAATCCTAAACAGTTTTTTTTCAGTTTCAGTTTTTTCAGTTTTTTTTTTCAGTAACAATACAGTTAGGCTTTTTTAAAAAAAAAGAAACTTTGTAAAGCATCGATCACTGCTTTTTTTTGTTTTTTGCTCCGATTATTCAATGCTTACAGATCAAATTTACAAAACAAAATATTTTTTTTTGCTATATCGGTGTTCAATAATTCTGATAATTTATAATTTAAAAAAAAAAAAAAGTGTATAAGATTATAACGACAAATCTCTCAAGAAGATTTTTTGTCATTATTATTGTTGTTGTTGATAGTATATTATATTAATGCAAAAATGTTTATGCATAATCAGTTAAGAAATAAAAATTATACAAAAAAAAAAGAAAGGAATCCTGTCAAAAATGATGATTTTATTTTTTTTTTTTTAGCAGCAATTAATAGGTTTCTTTTTTTTTTTTTTGTCAATTGTCATTGTGGTTGTCAGCGAAGAAAATTTTTTTGTATTCAACAACAACAACAACAACAACATCCGTATCCTTGGCTAAATTTATGTTTATTATTACTGTTGTTGTTATTATTATTATTACTGTTATAATTATGATCATTAAAAAAAAAAAATGGGTATTAGATGCAGACCAAAAAAAAAATTTCCTTTTTTTTTTTGGAGAAAACCAGTGAAATGGCAACAAAAGATGGTAAACTATAACAGTTACAAAAATAGTTTTATCTATTCTCCTCTGAAGGACAGAAAAGGAAAAAAAAAAAAGGAAGAACTAAGGAAATTATTACGCAGTTGCTGAACGAACAACCCGGTATCAATGAACCCCAACGATATGTGTCCTATTGAGACCGGAGGAGGACAGTTGTTGTAACACAGTGGTTAATTTTTGATGAATAATCGTTGAAGGTTGAAAAAAAAAAAAAAAACGTGTGTTGTTTGTCAACCCATTGAACAAAATAATAACATTAGTGGTGGTGAATAATGAAGAAAAAAAAAAGTTTCTTTGAACGGAACGGACGGACGGATGGACAGACAACAGCAGTATAAAATAAACCAAAGAAAATTGGCTTCAATTAAGTTAAGCCGGAAATTAGGTGTCAAAAATTTGTTGTAATTGGTTGGTTAGTTGTTGCAAAAAAAAACAAAAAAAACAAACTTATTCCTTAACCAATGTCATTAGGCGACGATCAGTGAGTGAATGATCCGTTATACAACCGATAAATTATCATCGATATATACATTTGGTAGAATTGGCCAAAAAATTGGAAACAAGAAAAGAAGAAGAAGAAGAAGAAATAAATGCTAAACAAAAAATTGGAATAACATCAACAAATAATGTGTTTTGTATAATTAACAAATTACTTTTGGCAACAGTCGACAACAGTCTGTTTACATCTTAAAAAATTGGAAAAAAAAAAACTATGTTAGTTTTATTGCTACAAAAGTTGCTCTGAATTTACAAAATAAACATTTTATCACAGCAATTAACTGTGTTGACAATCTATCAAACTAATTTGATATTAAATAGCGTCTTAGAAAATTGTTAATCTATTAGCTAGCTAAATTTATGATTAGTTCAAATCAACAAGCAACCAAGTCAGTTAGTTAGTCACTCATTCGGTCCATCAATCCGTCAATTAGATGAAATTGATGAGAAGCATCCCATTGTTGTCATCATTAGTTTAATATTTTAGCAATAAAAAAAAAAAAAAGAAGCTTCTACAATACTGTATGTATTGTCAAATAACACAGCATATAATATGGCACATTAATAGTTGTTGAAAAAAGTCACTGAAAAACTATTTATTGCACAAATTTGTTGACCGTAAAAAAGAAAGAAAAAAAAAAGAACAAAATTAATATTTTTCCTTTTTTTTTTTGCTATAAATAAAAACAATTGTTTGGTGGAAAAAATTAAATGAAGATTTACTTACAACGACATTGATCTGACCCCAAACCTCAACAATGATGAGAAACCAACTGCAAAAAAAAAATTTTTTTTTTTGTTTTTAGTCAACGTTTTTTCTGTCAATAATTTAATTCAATTGAACAGTAAAAAAGGAAAAAGTCTAAAGTTTCAACAAGAAAAAAGTCTGATTTTCTTTCTTTGAAACAAAAAAAAAAACAAAAGCAGGGGAACAGAAAGCACAATAGTTGTAAGCTGACAACGGGTATTTCATCCATCCCATTGATCGTTCGTTGTTCGTCTCTGTTTAAACGCCTATTCATTAATCGCTAATAAAATAGATATATGAGAAAAAAGAACAACAACTTTTGCCTAACAAAACTTATACAAAACTATACACCATCAAATAATGCTAAATCCTCTTAAACTTAAACAAATATCATTGTCAAAATT